AGAATTAACTAGGATTGAATTTTTGAGTAAACGACCTTGGAATCGGGATTTGAGGGTTCCAGCGGGTTCGTATGATGATTTTGGACTTGAACGTATGCCCGGATCGGATTTTGGATGACCCAGGAGCGTTATGGCGCCTATTGTGGAAGTTAGCATTTTGGAAAAAATTTCATAAGTTTGGATTGAAGTGCATTTCAGTGTTATCGATGTCCGTATAGGATTCCGAGTCTGGGAGTAGCTCCGTTTGGTGATTCTGGCATTGGGAGAGCGATCGCAAGTGAATTCGGAGGTCCGTGGGTCATTTTGGAGTCATTTGGCTAAAGATAGAAATTTGAAGTTTGACTGGAGGTGGACTTTTTGATATCGGGGTCAAAATCTAATTCTGAAAGCTAGAGTAGGACCGTAATGTGGAATATGACTTGTGCGCAAAATTTGAAGTCAATCGGACGTGATTTGATAGGTTTAAACATCAAAAGTAGAAGTTGGAAATTCTAAAGTTCATAAAGGTTGGGTTGGAGGTCGATTCGTTGTTTTAGCGTTGTTTGATGTGATTTGAGGGCTCGAGCAAGTCCGTAATGTGTTTTGGGACTGGTTGGTATGGTTGGTTGGGGTCCCGGGGGCCTCGGGTGGATTCGGGGCGGTTAACGAATTGAAAATTGAATTTTTGAAAGCGCTGAAGTTGCTGGTATAACCGCACCTGCAAGACTTGGGCCGCAGGTGCGGAGCCGGAGAAACGGCCTTGTGGTCGCAGATGCGGCATTTGGTGGGGGAGAGCTAGGACCGTAGATGTGGTCATCTCGCCGCAGAAGTGGGACCGAACCTTCAGGTGATGAGGCGCAGAAGCGGAATGGGATGGGAGCCCTGGGTTCACAGAAGCGGCGTTTGGACCGCACCTGCGGAACCGCAGAAACGGTCGAGGGACCGCATGTGCGAAAAGTGCAGGAGGCAGTGGGTGTTTTAAAAATCGGGTTTTGGACATCTTCTCTCATATTTTCTTGGCTTGGGCGATTCTTGGAGGGTTTTCAAGTGGGGGTTTTCACCATCCACGACAAGGTAAGCTAATCCCATCCTTCTCGAGTTAAATATATCGATTATGTATGGATTTTAGCATGAAAATTGGTCGAAATTTGGTGGTTTGAGGAAAACCTAGAAAATTGTTATTCTTTGAATTTGACCACGATTTTGGGTATGGAATTGAGAGTAAATTATATATTTGAGTTCGTGGGGTTATGGGTAATCTTAATCTTAAAAAAAAATCGGAATCCGGGCACGTGGGTCTGAGGGCATTTTTGTCAACTTTTCGATCGGGGTTAGGAATTGTTATATATTGGATTGTAATGAGTACTTGAGCATATATTAATGGATTTGCATAATTATTGGCTAGTTTTGGAGCATTGTGCATCAATTTGAGTCTTCAGAAGGGCGTGGAATGCCGGTTATAGATCTTCGGAGCGAGGTGAGTCTCCTTTCTAACCTTGTAAGAGGGAATTGTCCCCATAGGTGAAATAATTAAATATGTGCTTCTGATTGTGGGGGCTACATACGCACGAGGTGATGAGAGTCCGTGCGTAGCTACTATTATGTTTAAGTCCGGGTAGTCTAGGACCCAAAAGCATGCTATACTTGGATTATTTGTAATCTTATTGACAGTTCGTATTTGCTTAGATCACATCGAATTAGTAAATGCATTTCTAAAAAGATTTACACTTCATTTTCTTAAAGTGTTGAAAGAGAATTGGTTTTTCTTGGATAATTGTTTCCTGATGACTTCTTGATTGACTGTCTGTGTGTGTTTAAATTATGGAACGGGCCGAATGCCTCGGTAGATTAAATAGATGCATCTATAGTTCGCGCCATTCGACCCTCTGGCAGTGCACAGTTTAAATATTGTTGGATCGGGTCGTACATCCTCAGCATGATTTGCGCATGCTTGTATTGCTGCCTTGAACTTATTAAAGTTGTTATTGCCCCTTCCTGGCTTGATAATATTGGTATAAAGGACTTAAAGAAATATGGAGATTTCTATAAAAGAAAGAATTGTTTACTTGCTTCATTCCTTTGGATTACAATCATGTTTATAAAAATCCACGATTTAATGTATTACTGATATCACATTATGGGACCACTAGTAGGTGTCGAAGTCAACCTCTCGTCTCTACTTCTTCGAGATTAGACGGGATACTTACTGAGTAGACGTTGTTTTCGTACTCATGCTAGGCCTACTGGGTGTAGCAGCATGGATGATACTGGGACTAGGTGAGCTGCATTACTCGAGGCGACCCGCTGCTAGTATAGTTCTTTCAGCATGGATGATAGTGGGATTAGATGATACGGATGTTGTATTGTATTGTTTCTCAGAAATAGCTCATGCACTTGTGACACCTGATTCTGGGGATGTCTATGGGTTTATTCAGAACTTTAAAAGTTGTTAAAGGTTTCATTTCTTATTCAGTGAAATTTACTATGTATAGTTTAAACGTATAAAAGAAGAGATTTCAGAAATATTTAAACGAGAATTTAATTAAGTAATTTGGTTGGCTTGCCTGAGAGCGGTGTCCGGCGCCATCACGACCCTCAGCGGATTTTGGGTCGTGACAACATGGTATCAGAGCACTAGGTTCCCTTAGGTCTCACGAGTCATGAGCAAGTCTAGTAGAGTCTCGCGGATCGGTAGGGAGACGTCTGTACTTATCTTCGGGAGGCTACAGGGCTGTTAGGAGTACTTCCCTTCTTGATTCCTCATCATGTGATTTGATTCCTTGAGGCTTATGCCCTGATTCCTTCCTACTCAATATTACGCGACGCGAACCGCTGGTTATGAATCGAGTATTGCAGGAATGTAATGGTACTACAAATATGGTGCGAGGTGCTTCTCCCAACGGGGTTATTAAGTTATCATTATCGCCTCGTGGAAGGGATATTCTGTCGTTTCAGCTCAGCAGCGGTACTTCTGAGAGCTCTGAGGCTAGGCACAAATTGCCATGATGCTTATGTGCGATTGTTCCGCAGTATTGATATGATGGCAAGATGTTTGCCTACGTGTTAGGGCAGTGAATGACTTGAAGGGAGGTTTACTCAGTGCATGATCTAGAGATTCGGTATTTTATTCTCGGCAGGGGAAGGGCAATCGAACTAAGAATGGTCAGATATGGGCTGGTGGAGTAATGAGACATGGTATTTGCGAGCGTGGTTGAGTTTTCTTCTATAATGAGGTGTCGTAATCCTAATTGAACGTGCTAAGTTCGCCGGTGTTATGATCTTCTACAATTTGCCTTGGGGGTGAGCTATTGTGAAATAGTATTGAAGATGCGGCTGTCAGATATCGCAAGGTGCGGTAGTTCAGGATTGAATCAATCTTTCTAATGTCGACGGTTTGAGAAAGATGACCTTCCGAAAGGTGTAACGTTAGCAGCAATTGTGGGTTCAAGTGCCACGAAGATAAATTTTATTTATGGAAACAACTGAGCAGCAACGGATGAGGAAGGACATGTGGGGAGTGTCAGGCGTAGTTAAAATTTCTAGAAGGCCAGGTATAAGAGGCAAAAGTCGAGTAGTCGACTAAAGGGGTGAGTTTCGCCAAAGTGGGAGAGTTTGAGGTGATTTGGGAAACTTTGGATTGGTGATTTGGGCCTACGGATTTATTTGAAGTATGGGCTATTATGCCGCAGGAGATTTGATCTAACGGAGAGGAGCTGCTTGAAATGAAAAAGGGTACGACCTAAGTTTGAATTGGAAGGATGATGTTGCGCACTTAATTGATGTCCACGAGAGATGAATGGACTTGTGCAGCTAGGGAGTGAGCTGGGACTCAGGATGGGTCGTTAATGTCGTGGTGATTGTGTGTCTGGTGAATCCAGGAGCACGAATTCTCCATCGAAAGATCATCTATCGATCACGCCCCTCAAAGTACAGAGCCAAGGCCAAAGTCCGTCTCCGAGGTTTGCCTAAGAAGTGACTCTGCTCCGATTATTGCGGCGGACCACGATAAGCTAGGGGAAGGCCCTCGAGACACGGAAGTCGATCTGACAAGGGCGGCGTACCTCAGGTCTATTCTGAAATATTGAATCTAGCCAGGTTATCCCCGTACTATCGCTATTTGCCACTACACACAGCAAAACTAGAAGACTTGACCTTTTGATATCAATACATTTCGGAAGCCTACCACGAGACCGCGAGGGTGGAAGGCAGCGATCGATTCTCGACCTCAGGGCTCGTTAAGATCCGAATCGAAGGAAGCGAGGTCCAAGGTCAGGATAAAAGAGGAAGTCCCCTAAGCACATGGCTATACCTGACAGTTCTGGCCTATCTGAGAGCCTACTATGAGGACTCGCGTCTAGCCGTCCCATCTTTGTACTCCTGCAATTAATATACATGTAATTTACCGAGTACCCTCGCCTATATAAGGTGGGATCACCCTTCCTTGTAAATGACTGATGTTGCTCCACTTCTCCACAATGCAATAATATCTCGCTCTCTCTCTTCCTTCTAAGTTATCAGTCTTCATTGACCCCGAGGTCGCCTTAGTATTTTATTGTTTATTCGTTTGTTCTTCATCATTTAGATCAAGATTGATAGTATAGAGCCTTACTTACTCATATCTTTGTCTGTTATTCCATTCCCGACTACCCTCGATAAGCCCGAGATAGGCTCGAGGCCTGGCTCCGAGGTATCCACTGGCCAGCTTTGCGCCCGGGGAACGTCCCCTTACTAGTTTGATTACCGCTTTGATTAACTCGATCTTTACCGTCTTACTTCACGTTTTAGCACTAACCATCCTAACAAACTAGCTCGGGAATAGATCACGTATTTTTAGAATCCCATTTACAAATTTAATTGTTGTTACTATTTTCACGATAAACAGTTTGGCGCCCACCGTGGGGCTATAAATGATAGTGATTATTTTCTTGCTAGTTTCTTCACTTGAACGCACGATATCTTTCACACTTCTTCTTGCCCAAGATCTCCGCTTTCAGGACCGGACATTCTGCTCGATCAGCGAAATGGGAAGCAGAGATCTCAAGAGCGACAAGGGAACCAACCCGATCAACCCGGAGTACGGCGCACCCCCGGGCTCAGTCCGAGCGCAAAAGAGAACTCCCCAACATGATATCCACATGATTATCGGAGGGGTTGAGGATCCCCAATGCCATATGTCCAAGCGGACAAAAACATCCGTTATAGAAGGATCCACCCAGAAGCTCTTACCCAAAGAAACCCTCATATTCACCGAGGAGGACCTTGAGGCCATGGGAGAACCACATAATGACGCTCTGGTAATCTCATTTCTCTTAAACAACACAAGGATAAAGCGCGTGCTTGTGGACCCGGGCATCTTGACCAACATATTCAGGTCAGGAGTGATAGAACAGCTGGGATTGCTCAGTCAGATTAACACCATCCCTCGAATCCTCCATGGTTTCAACATGACCGGGGAAGAAATGAAAGGATAAATCACCCTCCCAATCAACACATCTGGCACAACCAAGAGCACCAAATTTTAGGTCATCGACGGTGACATGAGGTACAACGCTTTGCTTGGTAGGCCTTGGATACACGATATGAGGGCAGTACCCTCGACCTTACACCAGGTGGTGAGATTCCCTACAAGAAATGGAATGACAATAATACATGGAGAACAGCGGGCAGCAAAAGAAATGTTTGCGGTCCACCATGAGGCGTCAAGCCCCATGCACTCGGCCTCAAACGAGGGAAAAAGCTTGCAAACCATCGGAGATGATGAGGAAGATTTCTTCGCCCCCCGAACCTTCGTCTCCCCCCAAACATTCATCGCCTCGAAAGAATCGGATGCGACCAAATCAACGATCAAAGAATTGGAGCAGTCCATTCTGATCGATAACCTCCCGGACCGTAAGGTATACCTGGGTACGGGGTTGACCCCCAAGCACAGGACAGGGTTTATTCGATTCCTTAGTAACAATATCGACTGTTTTGCCTGGTCCCACCTAGATATGACAGGTGTCCTGCAAGAAATAACCTCCCACCAGCTGAGCGTCGACCCCAAATTCAAACCCGTAAAGCCAAACTCTTAAAAATCGGGTCCATCTGGGAGGTAAAGTATCCCGAATGTCTAGCTAACGTAGTAATAGTGACAAATAAAGGGAATAAGCTAAGAATGTGCGTAGGTTATAAGGATTTAAACAAAGCATGCCCCAAAGATTCTTTCCCGCTGCCCAACATTGATTGTCTGATTGATGCCACAGTCGGCCACGAGACCCTCACCTTCGTCGATGCTTACTCGGGGTACAATCAGATTCAGATGAATCCCGGGGACAGGGAAAAGACTTTATTCATCACAAAGTATGGCACATATTGCTATAATGTAATGCCCTTCGGACTAAAAAATGCAGGAGCAACGTACCAACGCCTAGTTAATAAGTTGTTCGAACACTAAATAGGAAAATCGATGGAAGTATACATTGACGATATGTTAGTTAAATCCCTGCGCGCAGAGGATCACCTGACCCACTTGCAGGAAACTTTCGACATCCTTAGAAGCTACAACATGAAGCTCAACCCCGAAAAGTGCGCCATCGGAGTAGACTCGGGCAAATTTCTAGGCTTCATGGTCTCAAATAGGGGGATCGAGATCAACCCCGACAAAATAAAGGCCATCGAAGAAATCACGGTGGTAAATAACGTAAAAGTTGTCCAACGACTGACTGGGCGGATCGCAGCCCTGGGTAGGTTCATATCAAGGTCGTCAGACAAAAGCCATGACTTCTTTGCCCTACTCAAAAGAAAGAGAAACTTTGAATGGACTACGGAATGCCAAGGCGCCCTGGAAGAGCTTAAACGGTACCTGTCAAGCCTACCCTTGTTGCACACACCCAAGGAGGATAAAACGTTGTATCTGTACCTGGCCGTATCCAAAATAGCAGTGAGCAGTGTATTAGTCCGGGAAGAGCAAGGTACGCAATTTCCTGTGTATTACGTAAGTCGAACCTTGGGGGATGCTGAAACCCGGTACCCCCATCTAGAAAAATTGGCACTCCCACTAATAAGCGCTTCGCGCAAGCTAAAGCCTTACTTTCAGTGCCACCGCATCTGTGTCCTATCGACCTATCCCCTCCGGAGCATACTACACAAACCTGAGTTGTCGGGCCGACTGGCCAAATGGGCCATCAAGCTCGGAGGGTATGATATCGAGTATCAACCTCGAACGGCCATTAAATCCCAGATCCTAGCGGATTTCGTGACCGATTTTTCACCATCCCTCGTCCCCGAGGTAGAGAAGGAACTTTTACTAAAGTCAGGCACATCTTCCGAGGTGTGGACCCTATTCACGGACGGTGCCACAAACATCAGAGGATCCGGACTCAGTATTGTCCTAAAGCCCCCCATCGGCAGCGTAATCCGACAATCCATAAAAACAACGAAGCTAACTAACAACGAAGCCAAGTATGAGGCTATGATTGCAGGTCTAGAGCTGGCCAAGGGCCTGGGAGCCGAGTCCATCGAAGCAAAATGCTATTCACTCCTCATAGTAAGTTAAGTAAATGGAATTTACGAAGCTTGGGAAGACAGAATACAGAGGTATCTGGATAAAATCCAAGTCACCTTATGCCGCTCCAAGGAATGGACCTTAGTCCATGTACCCCGAGAGCAGAACAGCGAGGCTGATGCACTGGCAAACCTAGGATCGTCCGCCGAGGAGGAAGACCTGCTCCCCGGGGTTGTGGTCCAGCTAATCAAGTCCGTGGTTGAGAAAGGTCACACGGAAGTCAAGTCCACCAGCCTAACATGGGATTGGAGAAATAAATACATCGCCTATCTAAAGGACGGGAAGCTGCCCGCACCCAAAAGATCAAGAGCCTTACGAACCAGAGCGGCCCGGTTCTCGCTCGATGAAAACGGGGCCCTGTACAGGAGAACATTCGATGGCCCCTAGCAGTGTGCCTTGGGCCGGGAGATAAGGACTACGTGCTCCGAGAGATCCACAAGGGCACCTACGGAAACCACTCTGGGTAGACTCCCTAGTTAGAAAGAAAATCCGAGCAGGTTACTATTAGGATAGCATTGAAAGGGACGCCAAGGAGTTCGTTCGGAGATGCGACAAGTGTCAAAGATTCGCCCCCATGATTAACCAACCCGGCTTACAACTACATTCCGTTCTATCACCATTGCCATTCATGAAATGGGGATGGATATCGTTGGCCCTTTGCCAATGGAACCAGGTAAAGCTAGGTTCATTCTGTTTATGACTGATTACTTTTCAAAATGGGTTGAAGCGCAGGCCTTTGAAAAAATAAGAGAGAAGGAGGTCATCAACTTCATATGGGAACACGTCATATGCCGGTTCGGGATCCCGTCCGAAATAACATGCGACAACGGGAGACGATTCATTGGGAGCAAGGTAACTCAGTTCCTGGAGGACAACAAAATCAAAAGGATCCTTTCAATACCATATCATCCGTGCGCAAACGGCCAGGCCGAATCCACAAATAAAACTATCATCCTAAACTTGAAGAAAAAATTAGAGAGCTCCAGGGAAAGTGGCGAGAGACTCTACCCGAGATATTATGGGCATATCGGACGACTTCAATATCAAGCACGGGCGAAACGCCTTTCTCTCTAGTATACGCTGCTGAAGCATTAATACAGGTAGAGGTCGAGGAGCCAAGCGCTAGATTCTGACATGCCAGCGAAGAGACAAACCACGAGGCCATGACAACAGCCTTCGAACTACTCGACGAGAGGCGGGAGGCCTCGCTGGTTCGGATGGCTGCCCAGAAGAAAAAAATCGAAAGATATTACTATCGGAGAACGAACCTCAGATACTTCAGCATCGGGGACTTGGTCCTGAGGAAGGTTACTCTCAACACCCGAAATCCTAACGAGAGGAAACTAGGCCAGAATTGGGAAGGGCCGTATCGCGTCCACGGAATAATTGGCAAAGGCTCATATAAGCTTGGCACCATGGAAGGCGAGCAGCTCCCGAGCAACTGGAATGTGTCGATGCTCAAGTGATATTACTGTTAGGGCCTCCGATTGTGAAATACCCGCGGGAGCCCCCGATCGAACATCATCCTCTCTTCCACGCAAACAGACTCTCACCCCGAAACGAGTTTCCTGCTGAAAGGGATTTTCTAAGAAAGACCACAAGTCACGCCAAACAATTTTAAGGAGCCGAGCCCGTGAGGGTCGAGCTCGTGACAACAAGACTATATGTACTTGCAGCCTATATCTACGCCGAGCAATAAAGAATATATTTACGGCATTTTCATCACGGCCTATATCTGCTCCGAAGCAATAAAAGTTTTTTTTCGGCATTTCATGTTTCGAGACAGATTGTCTCAACATATTCGCTGCAAATGCTTCTCCATCAAACGAATCCGATATACTCGGAGACTTAAGCGATTCAGCACCCCCACCCCAGGGTCGGGACTCCGGGCTCACGTAGCCCTCGAGATATGGGTCCAAGTCTACAAAAGGTGGTATTCAAGCCTAAATTGATCTTATATACTCGAAGACTCAATATAAGCAATTTGACAACTTGCACGACCCTAGGGTCGGAACTCCAGGCTCACCAAGCCCCCGAAAAACAACTTCGGGCTCATCAAGCCTTTGGAAACAGATCCGAGCTCATGAGAAGCTGTCTTCAAGAAAACTCAATGATTCGGAGACTGCCACCAATCTCTATGCACTGGAAAATCCGAAATTGTAAGACCCTAACGGGAAGCCTCGGCAAAACCGGATCTATTCTCCATATACTGTATGACCTCAACAGGCATGGAAAACTATAAGACCTAAACAAGCAGGAAAAATCCCGCAGTTTAGGCTATACGTCACATTTGTAAGAATCCTTAAAGGGCATACTCTCGGTGTAGACGCCTAAAACTGCTTCTCGGGATTAAAAATGGCACCGGCCAAACGCAGATGGCTCCGGTCAAAATGGCTGCTACAACCCAAAAAACGCGACTCGGGGATTCCCGATTGTCGTTAAAAATCCTTCGAATCTACTTCGGAAAGAACCGGTTAACACATGCTTCCCTCAACAGGCAAAAAACGAGTACCGGCCACGTCGGCTCCAAAATCGCAAAAGCATCGATCTACTCGACCTATGAGCTATGAACCTTCCGAGGTGCTCAAAACATCGCCGACTACGACTTGAAATCAAGGTTCTTTCAGAATCGACGAGGGGTCAGGCAAAATACTCAATAAGACCTTAACGAGAGGAAACAAAGCCTAAATAAAGCCTCCGGGCCTCATATCAAAAGGTCTCTACGACCAAACAGCGTAAGTGCCTTTGTCGCCGGCTAAGTAAAGCCTCCGGGCCTCACATCAAAGGGTCTCTACGACCATACAGCATAAGAGCCATTGTCGCCAGCTTGAAAATTTACAACTTGAGGATTAAAGTGAGCTCGAGTCATAAACCGATTCGGAGACTTGATCCAAAATAGTTAACCTAAGCAAAGCCTTCGGGCCTCAC